TCAGTAATTAAAATAACTATAATAATCTCACTACAATAATAATAATAATAATATTGGTTGCCTTTTTACCCTTTAAACCTTTCCTTTTGCTTTATTGTGATGTGGGTCTATTAAAAATGTTTAAATGTTGATTGTTTAGATTTTTCTGCCTGAACCCCTTACTTTTGTAAAATTCAACCTAGAGATCTCCACGTTTTAGCGCACACAGAGGCTACCACCAGTTTAGGCAACTGAGCTAAGCTGCTCTGCTACCTGGTTATATATCTATAAGGTACTGTAATGCCCTAATAAATCAGATTTATAGAGGGCGTCATAACGCTGACGTATATCAAAGGTAACCATGGCGGCATTTGGAAAGAAGTGTACGTAAAGTTTCTCGTACTTAATTTAGCCTGCCTTGCCATCTAGAATCTGTAGAGTTGCGAAACCTTTAATTGAAATGTCTACAAAACTTTGGTGAGTTGATTCACGTTGTATATTGATTAAAAAGTTAAGAATGCATAATTTAATGTTAAATAAACCTAGGCAAGCGAACGTATTCTACGCTATCTTTTTGTATAGATCTTTATGATTTACATTGATTGTTTGTGATTCGATGATTATTTTTATGATAAATCATTATTTAATTAGAGTTTAAAGTAATAATATTTAGTTGTAAGAATATTTTGATAGATGTAGATTGAGCTATCTCGATCATTTTATATGTTAATCTTTTAAGTATTGAAATACTGTTAGTTTTAAAATTGATGATTAAATCGATAAAAGGCGATTCTTGCTGTTTGAATGTGAAGGCATACGCTAATGTCTTCTTCGACGGTTGTCTCGGCGGTCATGCGTGTACGCACGCATGTTTCCATGGACGTATAGTTGTTTACATTATTTGTATGCCTAGTCTAGGTCTATGTTGGCTACATAAAGCATATTATTGTACTAAATTATAGGCAAACTTTAATTTCAAGAGATAAGATTGTCTAGGATGAATGTATTATTAATTTAAAGCTAAAATACTTTCATTCAACATTATTGTATTGCATTATGCTATTTGTATTTTATGGTTATTTCACGTTTCAGTGAATCACGTACTCATACTCGTTGACGTTCTTCTCATATTCGATAGACTTCTCATCATCGTTCCGTTACTACTGTACTACTGTTATACCATTTTTCACTGTTTCATTTATCATCCTTCCTACGTTTGAACGATTAAATTTACATAACATCTTATGCTGATTCCATTGGTAGTAATTTTTAATTTGAAGTTGTTCAAACAGGTACCATTCCAATATTTAATAACAGGCTCTATTACAGTAACACTATCAAAATGCAGAGACGCCGGACAAAATTTTACTTTCGCCATAATATATTGTACAGTAAGCCTACGACTTCTGGATCACTTTTTCTTCAGGTCATCTAATAAGCTTGAAACTATCAATATAAAGACTTATAAATTCATTGATTGTTTTTAATAAAGTGTCACTTTGATACCAAAAAATATGTTGCTCTGAAACATGATAAGGCCAATCTGAATAAAATGAACTGATCGTCCTATAAGGTCCGATTGATGTTGCAGGCGGTTATTTTCAGAATATCCGAATTATTAGTAGGCCTTTAATGTATACATTATTTTAATCGATTTCAACATGCTGTGTATAATATTTAATAATAGGCCTACTATGATGGATAACCATGTATTTTATTCTTTATTTATTGACATGTTTAAAGTCGAAAGCGGGTTTTAAGGTGGGTACTTATGCAGCCGTCCGGGGCTCATACATTTTTGAAAAAAATTAAAAGATAGTATTTTGTCAAAAGCGGTTGTATTATTAGATTGCTCAGTAGTAGTAAATGGGGGCCCATCGCCTTTCCAGTACTCATTTGGACATGGAGGATGTAAGCGTTTCCCCAGAAAGCACACTGTCATTACATAACTGGTGAAACCTAAATAGTGGGGCAGCATAGTTGAAAGAACCCTTCTAATAAATCTGCCAAATATTGTGTTTGTGGGATTTTGGTCTATTTGGTTTTTTCGGAAATTATAGAAAAGGTTACATATTGTTAAGGCGTTGTAGGAGAGTGCTGAGTATCAGTGTTACTGTAGATATAAGCAGTGGCCTCTCAAGGGCACATTTGGCCTCGGACTTCGCCCAGAAAGCACATGCGTTACTTAAGGCTTGGTAGTAATGTGTTAGGTAGTAGTAGGAGCGCCCCCCCCCCCTCCCGAGAGCTCACAAGTTACTCAAATGGGTCCTGTTTATTTTAATATGATATGCCATAATTGGACTATATGGGACAATTATATAAACTGCAATACATTATTCAGCATCGGAAGAGCTTTCCGACGATACTAAACACGACTGCTTTTGGTGAGTTTATATACGGTACTTATTCTTATTTATACACATTTTAAGTATATTTTGCGGTTATTTTAAAACAAATAAACACCTACTGTATTTTTTAATTATGTTCCATTCTGGCATGAGTGAAAGTAGTTTTGATATGTCTGGTTTGTTGCCTGTATAGAAATTATGAGTTTAGACACAACATCATATCTGTAGCTTATTTAGTTTAGTGCAATTATATGCACATTTTAGATAAATTTTCAAAATGGCCGCCATTTGTATACCAGGTGAAAAATCAAGTGTCAACAGGGTGACCAGGACGGATTAATTAGGAGTTTGTAAGCTGTTTTACATAGGTCTCCCTATCATAGTTTTTTTTTGCCTGATAGTTAAGGTGTTATGGTAGTTTTTTTCTTCGAATGTAGCTGTTTCCTTGTACAATATAAGATAATGGTTGCTGAAGGTCGTCTGTATGACACCACTTTGCGAAATCTTATTTTTTGAATTTTTTTCTTGCAACAACAGAGGTTAATTTCTCCCATAATATAAGTTTTGCAATCTGCTGGAAGGAAACTTAGAGTGGCATCCAGATGATCGGTAAAGTGTGGGTCATTTGGAGGGCGGTAACATGCACACACGAAAATAGGCTTGTTACGAGGTAGAAGTTAAATCCACCCATACACTTTCCATGTCTGGTCGTTCAAAATCAGATCTTCTGTTATGTGCATATACATATATATTATACAAACTCCTCCATGTCGTTGTCTCTGGGATATTCTATCCTGTCGAAGAAATCTGTAGCCAGGAATGGCTAATTCATTGTCTGAAATGGATGAATCCAGAAAGGTTTCAGAAACTGCCAGAATTACTGATTTGGTCTCTAGTAAAATCATCTTCATTGCAGACAGATTTTTCAAAAGTGACCTTGCATTTATGTGCAGGAAATTCCCCTTTGATTGAAGCAATGGAGTTGGGTCTGAAGGTCCAAATTCTCTGGTCCTTTTAGAAGGTATCCTGTCACTGTAGGCTAATTTGTAGTTAAATACATCAAAGTATAAAGTAAAAAACAGCAGCACATATTTACTTTATACTTTCTATACTGTACAGACTAATGCGGCTATACTTTTTATACATCAAAGTAGTATTGCATGTGACCATTGATTCACTAATGGCAGGGCTACTGTGTTGAAACACATTGCACTGAGATAAGTTAAAATGTGAAGCTCTATTTGCATTGTCAGTGCTCTGCTGAGTGCAACCTGGGCAAGTCCACTCATAATTCTGGTCTTTGAAATCATTCCTAAACCTCCTAGGACATATACCTTCACAGTTGACATGAGAGAACAATAAACAAAATTGACACTGGACTTACTGTCTATTTTTGTGGAAAAGAAAACCCTGCAACTATTTTTAGAAGTCTCTAAACTGACAGGATGGCCAGCTACATGATGATAATTATTGGTTTTATCCATAGAGACTTTGTCTGGTCCTGGGTTAAGATGTACATTGCCACATTCAGCAATATTTATATTAAAGGTGGCTATAATTGTATTAAGACTATAAAGAAAATGAGATTTGGTGAATTTTCGTTTATGAAATTTATTCTGTGGAGTAAAAGCTTTTTTTGCGAAAAACCAGAAAATGAGAACTATGAGAATTTTGGTAATGTATATAATTGAATGTAAGATGAGGAACATCTTAGACCTATAACAATTGGCTGAAAAAACAGGTATTAAAGATTTGATCAACTGACAAGGATTCGTGGTTAGGCCCATATTCAGATTTAAAAATACAGTTGGTTAAGGACTCTGCATTACTTACAAGAACAATTAGGCTTAAAGTCCAACTTCTGTCTCTTATACACATCTCTATTACAGTAACACTATCAAAATGCAGAGACGCCGGACAAAAATTTACTTTCGCCATAATATATTGTACAGTAAGCCTACGACTTCTGGATAAGTGCAAAAAAAAAATTAAATAAATAAAAATAAAAAAAAAATAAATAAATAAAAATAAATAAATAAAAATTAGTAAAGAATAATAATAAAAAAAAAGAATAAGAATAAACGCTAGTAAGTTACACCACCAGGTAAACAAGCGCTCGTTGACACATACAATCTCAGAGAAATCGACTCGAACAACACTTATAAATACATATGGCTAAAATTTCATCATTCACCACAATTATTAAGAGGAACGAGGATTACCTAGAAAAGAAAACAGACCACATGGCCTAGGTAAGTGCAAATAAAGCACATCTCCAAAAGTCTTTAAAAAAACGACTAACACATAGGACTTAAATAACCTATACTTAATAAGTCCATTAACAACATTATAAAAACTTACTAAACTGACAAAAGGACAGCAAAAGCAATGAAAAAATAGAAATAACTCAAGAACCCAGAGAGCACTGTGAACCATACGAGCACACACTGAACCATATTTATATGGTCATTAATAATCTGGTGGATTAATATGGTAATTTTCTTCGCAAGTACTGATTATTCGGTAAAATAACACGTCAGGTAGGGCGAAACATCACTCCTATGATATTTTTCCGATGCAAACACAACAGAAGAGATTGAATGTTATTAAATGAAATAAAAAAATTTAGAATTTATATATTTAATATGTTTTTCCTATTGTTCTTGAATTTAGTCTGGCAGTACCGGTGTACATGATACTGTGGTTAACCAACTCCTCTCAAAAATTGATGGTGTAGAACAACTGGACAATATCTTACTTATTGGTAAGTCACTGTCATATTTATATATCATCCACACTATAACAATTTAATAAAAGTTATTTTCTAACATATTTTGAGGATATGTACGTATTAGAAATGTGTTAAGTGTCTTATAATGTAATTGGTTACATTGTTTATTTTAAAGGAATGACAAATAGAAGGGATCTAATAGATGATGCATTACTGCGACCTGGACGACTTGAAGTACAGATGGAAATCAGTAAGAGAATTGATAATTTTATAATACAGTAACCAGAATTCAGAAAATTTTGAATGTTAAAATACACTGTTTAGTTAAAAAAACTTGAATATGTGAAGTATTTATTTATTTAATTTGTATATTTTGGCTATATCAAATAGAAATTCCAAGAAGATGTTATTCTCTTGCCAATTAACAAATGTATGAATAATACTGGAGGATTTATGTGGTAACAAGTCAATAAATAAGTGATATTGATATGATTAGAGTTTCATACTTTGTAACTGTTTGTTGAATTAAATGATGTCTAAACTTATAGGTTTGCCAGATGAGGAGGGCAGGACTCAAATATTTGAGATTTATGTGAACAAGATGCGAGATAACAACAAAATGGCTAAAGATGTTGATATAAAGGAACTTGCTATTGTAACAAAAAACTACAGTGGTGCAGAAATTGCTGGACTGGTCAGAGCTGCACAATCATTGGCCATGAATAGGGTTATTAAGGTCAGTTATGCTTGTAATAAGACAACTTCAGTGGCATACTCAGAAGAATTTCTGAACTCATAGGGCAACTGGGGATAGGATTGCAGTCTGTGGATCTGTTTTTTATTGTAAGAAAAATTGAAAGTTTAGTTATTAAAGTAACGGGAACTTTCAGAATGCACCGTCAAAGTGACGTGTGCTACTGATACAAAAGTGTATGTTCAAATTAAAATTATTATTATTAGTGATCCACTTCTCGAGCGGATCACCTCTTGTTACTGTACTGGATCATCATCATCTTTTTTTTTTAATTCTTTCTTTCCCCCCTTTTTCTGTTCGCACGATATCTCAAAATTGCTGCGAGCATTACACATTTCCACTTTTAACGAACATTTGGCTTGGTCTGGAATAGTCACGGTAAGCTTTTTAACGGGCTCAGACATGCGTGACATAATCTACACGCAATTTTACGTATTTTACATTATCAATCATATCCTCACCAATTGTCATTTCTAAATCGTATTTAGTGTGCATAAACTTCAGATCAATGTTGAATATCACGTACCAAAATATTTTGTCTGCGCATCATAATGCGTGCGCACACATGCTTAAAAATTTAAAATGCCCAAAATCATTTCTGACTATTAAAATTAGAGCACGTTTCAGACCATTTTGAGCATTTCAACATTTTTCAAATTTTCCGCACCACGTGCATATTTCCATACTATTCACATATTTCCATTGTTTTTTAGTAATTTAGGGCCAATAGCAATGCTTTACGTTCGCATCAAATTATGAATATTTGTGCTCGTTTTTGTCGACAAACACTGAAATTTTGCCAAGATCATGCTTATTTTCAATCAGTTATAGCTCCTTTGGATGAAAGTGACCCCCAATTTTTATTACTTATTCTTAATGCACATGAATTGTAGATATGATTTTATGCATCAAAATGGCTGATCGGACATTGTGACGTCATCACATTGCCACTTGATATAAAAAATCTGAATGTTTATTGATGACGTCATTTGTTAAAATACCCATTTGGGCGTATCTCACTTATCTTTAATAAATCGTCTCTTTACTTTGAGTATGTTATAGCTGAGACAACTATGTTTCATAAGTGTGACTTTTTTTACATTTTGATGACGTCATCATGGTCAAATCCTTGTGCGCGTTTTTGTCGAAAAACACTTAAAATTTGCAAAAATCATGCCTATATTCAATGAGTTATAGCTTCTTAGGATGAAAGGTGACCCCCAATTTTTATTACTTATTCTTAAAGAACATTAGTTGTAAATATGATTTTATGCATCATAATGGCTGATCGGACATTGTGACGTCATCAAATTGCCCTCTGAAATAACAAAACTGAATTGCTCATCTCACTTATCTTTAATCTACCGTCTCTCAACTTTGAGTATGTTATAGCTGCGACAATGTTCTTTCATAAATGTGACTTTTTTTGCATTATGATGACGTTATCATGGTCAAATCTTTGTGCGCGTTTTTGTGACCAACAGGCGTTTTTGTGACCAACAGGCGTTTTTGTGACCAACAGGCGTTTTTAATTAAATAACGACTTAACAAATTTCATGAATCTTTTTAAAATCTGTGGCGGATCACCAACTAACTCGTCCTCAGTGACGAGTTCAAATCTAGTTATTATTATTGGTGATCCACTCCACATTATCGGTCATATCAGCCTAACCAATTGCCATTTCGAAATCGTATTAAGTGAGCATTAATTTCGTGTTAATGTTGAATGTACTGTACTTTAATTTTATGCGTGCGCTTCATTACGCGTGCGTCACATTTTTAAAAATCTCAAAATCACTTTTTGACTAAATTAGAGCACGTTTCAGGCCATTTTGAACATTTCAAAATTTTACTACGTGCAGGCTTTTTTTCACGCGCAGCATGTACGGAAGCTAAACATTATGTTTTTTCACATAGTTTGGGTTCCTGACATTGTTTTCACAAATTTCCATTCTTTTTGGTCATCTTATGGCCAATAGCAATGCCGTACGTGCTCATCAAATATAGGTATCTCTGCGCGGATTTGTGCCGATATACAGTGAAAATATGCTAAAATCAGGCCTATATTTAATCAGTTATAGCTCCTTAGGATGAATGGTGACCCCAAATTTTTATTACATATTCTGAATGCACATAAGTTGTAAATTTGATTTTATAGATCATAATGGCTGATCGGACATTGTGACGTCATCATATTGGCATCTGAATTCAAAGAAAGTGAATTATAGCTATGACGTCATTTTTGAAAATACGCATTTGAACGTATCTCGCTTAACCTTGATCGATCGTCTTCCAACTTTGTGTATGTTATAGCTGAGACAATTCTCTTTTATATATTTGAATTCTTTTTACATTTTGATGATATCTTCATGGTCTAAAAAATTGTTTTTTCTGGCCCCCCCCCCCACATCTTTCTTTCCTCAAAACGTTGATGAACCCATATCTTAACCATTCGACATTTCTGAATCATATTAAGTGAGCATAATCTTCAGGTGAAGGTTGAATATCAGGTACCTTAATTTTCCGTTCGCGCGAAATAACGTGCGTGTACGCGTGCGTCAACAATTATGTATACTTAAAATTATGTCTACTTTTAATCAGCTCCTTAGTATGAAAGGTAACCCCTAATTTTTAGTTCCTATGCATGTAATGCAATAGGAACTATTGTAATTACTCTTGCTATTTCCTATGTTTTTTATTGTGTGTAGTGTGTGTGTGTGTGTGTGTAGACATTTATGCAAATGCGCATGCGTCAAAGAAAAGTTTTCCAACATTTTGTTTTACATCGCGATGCGAAGATCGATGTGAAGTTTCTGCAGAGTTCAGTCAGGGCTCACGCTAACCGACCGGAATGTCGGCATGGATGAAAC